AAGCTGTTTATAGCAGCCAGCCATGTTTCGTCAAAATTCGAGAACTAGCTATTCCGTGGGCAATGCCAACTCCCACGGTCCAGATCTCAATCACGTCTGGGTCGTCCGCGTTGACTAAAGCTGCAGCATCACGGCCACCCACGCGATCGTAGTGAAGTTCGGAGCACGGCCCACAGGGACCTGCTCGTGGCAGCATGGTCTCTCTGAACAGAGAGTGCAAATTTGGACAGCCCCTTGCGAAGGCCAGGCCGACATCTCTATGCTCTATCCAAAAAGAATCGAAACAAGGCCAGCTGGTTCCGTTTAACATGCATGCAGCGGCTGCCACAAAGTATGACTGTGCGCAGTGATGGGAAGTGGCTGCTAGTCAGGGTCTGCAGCAAAGATTAAATCATATTAAATCTTTGCAGCGCAGGTCGTAACGGTAAAAGACCTCGTCTGCAGACCGCAGGGGGGCATGCTTGGCGGTTGGTACTCCGCAGACACATTCTGATCGTAGAGGCTTTGGGCCACGACTCTTGGCCAGCTTGTCTCCCCAGACCCCACCCCAACCCAGTCCCTCAAGCCCTCAATGATACCTTCCGACAAAGCATGGCCTTGGGTGGAGGTACATCGAAACTCCAAGCTAGAACAACGACAGAAGAGGTGTTTGCTGGCCTGTCGCACCCATCTCCCAGAAGTTGTCCTTGCAAGCAGGTGCTGGCGACACTGCATGAATTGCTTAGTGACTTCGTGCCTCTACCGTCTTAGCTGTAGCCGGAGAACGGAAGTCGACGAAAAGTCTTGCACTGCTATGTGGCAAAATGCGATCCCGTCTCGAAACGCCTGGACGGCCGTCGGTTCGATCCGGCTTGTTGATTAGTGGCGTGGCTTCGGAGGTTAACCAGTCTCTGGTTGCTTGAAGCAGGAAGCGGTGGGGCCCTGAGGCAAGCAGTGAAGCTGAGACCTCTGGCTTTCAGGCTCCATCAGAAGGAACGACCCGTTTGTGGGAAAGAAAGGCCTGCGCCTCCATTGTTAGACCCTTCTTCCAAGCCCGGTCCTGGGTATTGGCAACCGCTCATGGCCCCGAAGTGTACTGCTGAGAGGGCTTTCGCTTCGTGGGGTTTCGGAAGTTGCACCTGCGCATTTGCGTGCCCGCCACTCCGTTGCATATATAGACATAGACATAGCGTGCTTTGGTCCAACTCGAACCGAGCGCCAGTTGACTCAGCTTGCCAGAAACAACAAGGCTACCCTGCTGCCATCCCTTCTTCTTCCCTGGGTGCATTGCAGACCCCCTGCGCGGAGCGCCCCCCGGGCCCACGGTCGGCGCAGGAAGTGCGAGTCTACGGGCGCACACGACGTGATGGAGCGTGTCTTGGGGTGTGCGTGTGGCGGCCCGCCGTCCCCACGAATGTCAACGGCCATCCTCTGGATTGTCTCTCTTCTCTCGCAGCAGCCCCGATCCACTTCCTTTGGCAACAAGCGCACTTCCCCATGCGTCCTTCCTATCGAAGGGCAGCACTCTTTCTGGTGGAAGGCGCTTCTCCCACATCTCCTCCGCAGGTACCGACTCCGATCTCAAGAGGTGCATTTTATCAAGCCTCGCGGTCTACTTTGATCCAGAACCTTTCCAGCGCAGCAAGGCAGCAAGACACTGACCCTTTTGCAGGCTCCTTGGCCTCGACGTCTGCAGGAAGGCCCAGCCTTTGCAGTGGCTCAGCTTCACGATTGCAAAATCACAAGGAACGATGCCCCAAGTATAGCTGGAATGGGTCTATACGACACTGGACGCAGGCAAACTCCAATGCATGCAGTGCTCGTCCAAAGAGACACCAAAATCCCCGGGATGAACGGCCGTTAACCCAGAATACAGACAGTGGGTAGATGCATGAGATGTACAAGCCTTCCAGCAGAGCTGGAGTTGAGACGTTCGCATGCTTTCGATGTTCCGCATGGGCAGACACGGCTCGGGAATCTGAACATCTTCGAGCCGGGTCGCATCATTTATAAGGATTTGGGGGTTGATGACAGGATCGCAACTCTACTATACACAAGGGGGAACATGGCTGCAGAGCCAGACCAAATGCAGCTCAAGGTCTCCTCATCGCCACAGAAGTAGCTGGCGTAGAGACGGTTCGGGTCCAGGCCGTAGACCTTGGGCTCAGCTTTCAAGAGCTGACAAGTTTCCCTTTCTTGCAAAGGTATGGCACATCAAACCCGGCCTCCGTGAGGAGCTCCCAGGCCCAGTCGATCGCTTCCTCTTTGAAGTAATCGCCGAAGCTCCTTGGCTCTCTTGTCTGATGCGCTTCTGGCGACTTGAACAAACATTTAATCTGATTGAATCATGCACGGGCCCAAAAAAGAGTGCCGTGAAGTAGCAACTGCAGCAATAGTGTAGTGTCAATGGTCGTAGTAGTAGTAGTAGTAGTAGTAGTCGTCGTCGTCGTTGTCGTAGTAGTGGTGGTGGTGGAAGGAGGTGGTAGTAGTAGTAGTAGTAGTAGCAGCAGCAGCAGCAGCAGCAGTAGCAGTAGTAGCAGTAGTATTTTTGAACACAGACTCAAGTCCTGCGTCAGCTAAAGAAGAAGAAAGTAGAAGTAGCAGTTGAGAGCAGCAGCAGCAGCAGCAGCAGCAGCAGGAGTATAGTCAGTATAGCGGCGGTGAGGTAGTGGTGATTGCAGGGGCAGGAACAGCCAGCATCAGCAGTAGCATCAGCAGCAGCAGCAGCAGCAACAGCAACAGCTCTGCTCGTTGTCGCCGTCGCTTCCGTAGTCGAGTAGTTGTCCTCGTACTGCATTTTTCCCACCCGCCCAGTTGACTATGTCGCACCGGGGAGTTCGTTCTATGCTTGAGTGTTCGATTAAGGGGCTAAGGACCCATACATTCTCCTGTAAAGCACGCCAACTCGTTCTGCATTTTAGGGGGAGGGGTTTCAGGGAGTACGAGGAGCCGAAGGATGACCAGCAGCAGCGCGGTGGCAGTGACGCGGCCGAAGCAGAGTAAAAAGTCGATGTCATACTTACGACCAATCATTGTATTTTCAGCAAGGTCTACTGCAGTGAAGAAGCCAGTTTCCCAACATTTCAAAGAATGTGTGGTGATAGACGTCTTTGCCGACGTCGTCCTGCACAACGCAGTTCGAGCTGAATGAGATGGAATGAGTGCGTCGAAGCGACCCTGGCTGTCCTTTAGGCAGCATTCCACTTAGCACAAGCAGCAGCATCAGACAATGCTGGCAAGCGACCAAGTCGTTGTGCTTTCCACCAGCACGGATGCACTTCTGGCTATTGACGGCTCTCGACACGCCTGTCAAAACAATTGCAGTTCTGAATAGCATTGCACACCCTACCAGCTTCCATTGCAGGGCAGCAACTGCCGACCATCACAATATCAGTTGGGAAGGCTTGTTTCAGGGGCTGTCCTGAGCGTGCGGGCTCCATGATTCGGCTCGAGTGTTTTGCAAACAAAGACGGCATCATGAGCACGTGGCAGGCGTCCCTCCCCCCACGAGTTGGAATGGCAACGCATGGCAGCGCCGCGCCGTGCGTAAAGCTCAGCCGTAGTGACCACAGCTCTCACCGTAGAGGCTGCACAAGTCGCTTTGCGGCGAATTTCATTTGGTCGCCTACGGCCTGTGCCCCGAGTCATTTCCTGCCCGTGTCATCGTAGGCTTTGACCTGTCAATTCTGGCGCGCTCGCTGTTTCCCACTGCCTTTCATCAATGCCTCTTGCAATCGCTCACGAAGGACCTTCAAACCTCCAGCCATAAGCTCGAGCATGCGAACCCACCGCAAACCATCACCCACCATCCACCACGGCACTGAGCAACAGCCTTAACCGAAGACAACAACTGCTGTTGCGAAGACTCTACTTTCCTGTCCTTGCAGCGGGCTGTTGGGCTCCAGCTGCCCCAGAAAGATGGGCTTGAACTGATTCATCCCAGCCTCTCACACTGAGCTTCAAAAGGACTCCAGGCATCAGCACATGTAGAGCTACAAGCTTGTGCCAGCAAGGTGCATTTGCAAAAAGCAATGTCGGGTCGTTCAGAGGTACAACCGGGCTCGAAGCGATGAAGTCGTGCTCCTTCTTCTCCGCAAAAAACTTGATGTATGCCTCCCGGACCTTGTCGCCTCAAGTTCACCCCTCTTCCACTTCATGCAGTTGCCGTCAGCCCTCAGCACGAGCAGCCGAGCCAGGCCTGTCCAGACATCCAAGGAAGAGGCCCTGCGAGCGACACCTACATATGCAGTCCTTGGTTTGGCCAAGCCAAGGACCCAGGATCTCCAAACCGCGTCAGACACGAAAAAAGGATGGCATTTTTCGGACGAGCAAGGGGTACTGCAGTGCTCCGGAACTGACGGTTCCTAACATTCTCTCGAGGTGCTGCCGCCGATGCCGACGGCGAAGGCCCCGCATTGCGGAAGCTCCCAGAGCGGCACTGCAAAGCCTCCATGGCAGTGTTTACAATGGTACATCTCAGCGGATCCGAAGTCGCAAGTTCTTCCAGTTTTCAGCTGGAGCACCAGCGCCCACGGGGCCGCCGCAACTTCGCCTCCTTCGATTCGGGCACAGCTGGCGCGAGGAGGCGGGATTCGCCGAGACGGGAGCGGGCCGCAAAGGGGCAACGCCGCAGGGTCGCCAAGCCCACAGGGCGCATGGCGGGATATGCGAAACAGTGTGAAGACTCTGCTAAGCTTCTGCGACTGAGTTACTGAGGCGACTGAGCTGACAAGTCGCGGTGTTGGAAGTATCGCTCCAAGTGGCTACCTGTGATGCTGACGTCCCGATGTCTGCTGGACGAAACAGCATGGGGCTGTGGAGACTTGTCAAGAAACTGTCAGGTGACTGCCCAAGCCCAAGCCCAACATCAGCACTGCATGGGGTCCGCGTGTGCACCAGCCAGCAAGGACACTTAAGCTGATGCGTACCGTGAAGCTTGACATCTCGAGTAGAAAGCATAAGGCCCACGTGGCCTTGTGCACATCACCATGCTTTTCCTGTTCCTCTTCTGAGTCTTTGGCACCCTCCGGCAGCGTCACGGCAACGTGGGCGGAACGGGCAGGCCTGGCATGCAGGGCTTCGGGCAGACTTTCGGGAGTGACAGGCCATGGGCTTGGCGATCGCACAGATCGGCCGGAGTCCCGAAAGTCTGTCGGTGGCACCAGGGCGCGATGTCCACCTGCTGCCTTGAAGCAAGGGCTAGCACGTCTGGCTAGAGCTTGAACAATCGAGACACGTGTCCAGATCGCACACATTGTCGTGTTAACTCACCAAAGCCTACCGGTTCAACGCCACTTGTGATTTTGGGATGTTGGTGATGGATGCTTACGCCAACTACTGCATATAGGTCCATAATATGGGGCCCGAAGAACACGGGCCATTTTTCCTTTGGGCAGCTTTTCTTTATTCTCAGGGCGGAAGTCTGGTTCGAATTCCAGACCGGAAGCACCTTCGGTGCCGTCAGTCCTGTGCTGGCTAGAAAGGTGAGAAACCGTGGCCGCCGCATAGAATGATGAAAGATGGAATCAAAAGACTCTGTCTTGCTGTGGGTGCACCCGTCGTATTGCAACAAGATGATGCGCAGCCTGGATGCCGAGCCCCTTTGCAGGCGCCCTCTACAGATGTCATACGTGACAACGTGGGGGACTCAATAACGGTGCTTTCTTGTGCGCCGCTAAGAGGGCCAGATGCCCTCATCATGCTTCAATCCGTAGTTGAAGCGTAGACCGCCGCGTTCTAAAGGCTGTCGCCAGCCTCGGCAAGATGAAAAACCCGAGAGCTCTACGATGCACGCCACACCACGTACACAGCTCTACCAGCAGAGCTGAGCTTCCTGCCAAGCTCCTGGCAAAGCATTGCAGGCAAAGACGTGTGTTTTTTTTTGCCTCCCGCCTGGCTAGGACGAGCCCAACGTGTGTTTAGGGGCAGTGCTATTGGAGGGAGGACTGAGGCAAGCACCTCCGAATGCTTTCCTAACAAAGCAGCTTGTCGGGAATGCTCCTGCTGCGTTGTCTGCGGCGCACGAAAACGTTCGCGAGGAACGCGCCTGAGTCCTGGAAGAGCTCTGCATATATATATATATATATATATATGTGTGTGTGTGTGTACCTTTCTGTGTATGTATGTATATATATATATACACAGATACCTATCTATCGATCTATCTATCTATATATTTATACTTATATATTCATATTTGTATCTTTATATTTATACTTATACTTTATATCTACTTAGTTATCTATTTGATTGTTTTTTGTATTTATATTTATATCTATGTTACATATGTATATATATACATATACATACACAGCCAAACACCTTTGGCTGAGCAAGGGAGTGCCTGCAAGTGCTCCAGAGCGAGACATCTCTTCACCCGGCGACAGACCTTTGCCCTGGCAGGCGGCGGTAGTAGACAGCAGGTCCAGTGAACACGGCAGCATGAGTGAGCCGAGCAGCAGAAACTGCCTGGTCACTTCTGGTGCATGCCATAGCAAGATGAGAAATATCACTCGTTTTCCTGTGGAACGCACGTCATGACACAGCATGCCCTGCGCCAGAGCCCCCGAAAACATGTTTGAATCTGCCCCGGTCGATTCGATCTCGGGAGAAGGGTAGACCACAAAGTCTGAGAGACGTGCATCTGAACTACATAGCACCAGTCCTGGCTGAATCAAGGAAAATTACAAGCCCAGTGCTTCTCATCCGTCGTCGCAAGATATCATGACCCCACAACTTTGGATGCGAGCTGTCTGCGGAAGGTCGGGCACGGAGATATGGCATGGCGCGAGATCCTGCGATCTTTGTCATGCAGAAGGTGATGCCCTTCCAAGATCCGGCACGCATGGCTTGTCTCCACAATTCAGCACCGGAACCCAGACGAGTGCCAATCTCCGTCTGAGCGCATGCAGGCAGTGCAGGAACTCGAGAGCAGCCACCAATCTCGCGCTGTGAATCCCATGAGGGTCCACGTCGATTTTGGGAGCGACGCACCGTCGAGTGCGACGATGACAGTGATGCCATGGGCCATTAGAGAAGTTTCTGACTGCCTCGAGCCAGAAGCTGCCCCCACCCTCTGCAGAAAGATCCGTGACACGATGCGCAGCATTGCATCGATATGACGGACCAGCGATATATTTTTCGAGCGGCAACGCACGCCATCAGTTCTGTCTGGGACAGTAATTATGCGTCTTCAGTATTCTTTGAACCCTTCCTCAAGGCACAGCAATTGCGGTGATTCAGGAGGTGCTACTTGCACCACTCAGGGCTCACACCAGTTGCTTCATGGATTGGCCAGCTAGTTACAGCCAGTTCTGGTTCAAACAGTAAGTAGCAGAATGGCTCTTGAAGAGCATCTGGTGCTTGAAACACAACATGGGAACTGCTGAGTGCCAAACCACAACGGAGAGCCCCGCTCCTGATTGATATTCACAAACCTTGAACTCGGAGATTGCAGCGACAGCTTTAAAATTTGCCGCAGCTTCATACACACCTAGCTGCACCTAGCTTCGTCTTATACCGTCGTACCCTCATACTCAGTTGCTGTTCTCTTGCTTCAGGTCTGCGGCAAGGGCTCTTAGCACTCTGCGCAGTCGATTATCGGCTTTTGATCTGATCTGCACTGAAATGAGCAAACTTCCCTGACAGCTGAGACCAGACCTGGCAGACCTGGGATCCTCTTTGTCTCGGGTGCCGCGTAATGACATGTGATTTCTGATTTCCAAGCCTTTACCAAAAACACAGGATGCCCAGGTGCACAGGATGTGGACACGTACCCGGACGACCGGACCACGACAGGGGACGCTGGCTTTTCGAGAGCCCCCCTACAAAAGATGTGGACAAATTTCAGAATTGACCGGGTGTGTGTTCCCCGCCCCCGCTGTAGTCGCGCGAAGTAGATGCAGGAATTGGATGTCTGTACGCAGATCCAGCATACTGCATGCAGGGTCGGAAGCAGTGTCCAGTAAAAAATGAAAACTGGGCGCAGCCACGGACCACTTGGTGGTCTTGGCCGCGGAAAACCAACTCTGGCCGGACGGCACTGTGTGGCGAGGCAATGATTAGGATGATTATCACGAAGTTGCATGTGGACATGCCCGCCCAACGTGGAAGATGGCAGCACCGAGACAGAGAGCCGGACCCAAACCAAGTTCCCATGGTGCATCCTCAACTAGCCTTACTTAGATATTTTTCGTGAGAAATTCGCAAATCTGGTTTATCCGGTCCCCGGGCTTGGCATACTGATACACGTACATCATGGTCATGTAACGAACATGCCACGGATGCACTCCGAGCCACATCATCTGGAGCTCGGCTCAGTGACCAATTATCCTCGGACTTCGTTGCGCTTGGAGCCACGACGAGAAGACGGGCTTCCGGTGGGTCGCTCTGCGCGATCTGCTCGCTCCTGCTTTTCGGTGTTGCAAGGTTCGGGGCTCTCACACTTTCGGAAATCTTACTTTCAATTCTTTCAGGGCTTCTTTCCCGCCTTGGGAGCATCAGCCTGGGATCCTGGCTCGCTTAGGGAGCCCAATCGAGCACTGAAGTCGTTTATCTGCGCTACCAAGCCCAGCTGGAGGTCTTTCACCTCCTGCATCGCGTCGCCCACAATCTGGGCCTGTTGCTTTGCCAACCTCTCCTCGATGTCTGCCAACTCAGACTTCACTGCTCCCATCCCATTCGCCTCCAGACGGGCAGCACTGTCCTCCAGACGCGAAACCATGGATTCCATCGTCCCGTTGCCCTCCGTCTCGTTGCCACCTTCTGACGACACCGCTGTCTGGCCTCATGCTCAGATATCCAAGACGCCAAACTTGCGGAGCTAATTTAAGCCAAGCCTTCCAGGAGCTTTATACAGAAGAATGTGAGGAACGGCTCTTTGAAAACCACACCGTCGGGCGGCGGGCTTGTGATTTTGGAAATGCCAAATATGCACATCCCCCCCCCCCCATCGACATGCACACCAAAAACTGCACCCAAAATGCAAACTGAATCTGCCAGCCAAACAGTCTTGGCATGCGGCAAAATGGAGCAAGAAGCAAATCCAAAAAGAAGACTTCATAAACCTCTTGCGAAAATGTACCGGATTGCCAAACAGAATCACTGGTATTGACTCGATGTACGTGCAAGTTCAATCACATTCACAAATCGTTTCTTCCCCAAAACCATTGCTAAGCTCTTTGTTGTTTGCCTTGTGCTTTCCTCATATGGACGTTTGTTTACCTCTAGCGTCTGGAAAGTCCGTTCCACTAAACTGATGGATGGCATGTCGGGAGCTCACTCTGTGCACCGACTGCCCGCGCGATGGTAAAAGAATCCCGCTGCACACGTGTGCTTGCGATATCTGTGGCCCAGGCCCTTGCCCAAGTGCTCCGTGAGAATGTTTCGAACCTCACTTGCCGTAACGTTGTCCAAATTGCGAAGTGTGTCCAGGTTGTCGGCAAAGTTTTGGACTCTATCATTGGAGCTGGTAAGGAGATCCAGCATCATGAGGTTTTGACGACGGACATCTGTCATTCGCTCATCAAGGACGGCGGCAGAGCGCTCGGCCGCGACCACTGCGGTGTTGCTTTGGTCATTCAAGGCATCCATCTGCTCCTTCAAGCTTGCTAGGACGGACTCCGAGCTCACGGTGTAGGAAGAAACGGCAGACTCTCCGAAGTCAGCAAGCTTTTTGTCGAGTGACTTCTCCATCTCGACCAAGTTCCTCACCATCGAGTCATTGCCACTCTCAAGCTTTGTCACCATGGTCTTCTGAGTAGATACGACGTTCTGAAGGATTGAGTTCGCTTCTGTGGTTTGGCGCAGCAAGTCTTGCTGTGTTCCCTCTAAGTTCTCAAGCAAGGCCTTGGAAGAAGAACCCACAGCTTCTGCGACAGTTGCGTTCATGGTGGTCTGGACTTCACCGAGTTTGGCGTGGAGCGTGGTGCAGGATGTGCTGATCTGGTCCAAGCCCCTCTGCTGAGCATCTAGTTTCTGAAGGACCACTTCTTGCGAAGAATCCAGCTTGTGCAGCAAGACCTGGCATGCATTCACCGTCTGCATGAGCGTCACCTGCCCAAAATCCATACGCTGTGCCACACTCTCTTGGGTGGAATCCAGCGACTGGCTCATGTTGTCCTGAAGAGTCTGCAGCTTTGCCAGCACGGTCTCATGCAACGGCATTACTGCCCTTTGAACAGCAGATGCGATTTGTTCATTCAGGCCGCTCAAGTCCGCTATGCTGCCGATGGGCGGAGTAGCAACACCATTAGTGTACCCGGTCTTCGTACCCGAGAGTCGCTCTTTGTTCGCCTCAAGGACTTTCATGAAGGGGTCCGCCTTCTCCACGACGCCGCCCTGATCCTGCAGTGCGCAATGAAAAGTATGCCAGCGAGCACATGCCGATTCCATGCACCATCTGGACAGCTTTTGATTCAATTGTCGGGTATCGAATTCAGCTTCGGTGTCGGGGGCCAACCCTGTTTTTGCAAACGACATCTCTCTGGAGATTCTCAGTAGCAAACAGCTGCATGCTGTGCTCGGAAGGATGTCGAGGCATCCAGTCCAGCCGACAGCGCTGCTGCTATGCATCATGGCGGTCGACTTCGCGTAGCGACTGTGCAAAATGATTGAACCAGCTTGCAATCACTGTAGTAGAAGAACTCTTTCGTAAAAGTACAGTTTCTAAATGGGCCCGTTTTGTCTGTGTTACGGGGCGGACAGTGCGGGCGACTGCTTTTTGCCCTCACGCGACACTTCACGGGTGAACGGCCAGGTGTAGAGTGTAGAGGTCTACACCAAGTCTGCACGGCACAAGGCTCGAAGCGTGAAGCTCACTCTTTGCTTTGCTCGCTTCCCCAGTCCGCAACAACACAAACCAGCAATCTCTTGGTCTCCTGACAAGATTTGTTCTTTCTTTCTTTCGCCAAGGCTGTGGGCAGAGGTTGCCCTCTGCCCGCGCGCGTCAGCGCCCCCGTATGTTACGGGGCGAGGACGCTGCTATCGAGGAAGGAATTGCTTCGAGCGCAGCTTCAAAACGAAATGGGATTAGCTATGTTGCAGCCCTCCCATCCAGGACCCCGAATCAGGCAAAGCAAAGCAAAACACACACACACACACAAACACACACACACACACACGACACACACAAAACGACCCTAACCAAACCTCACCCCCCGTCGCACCTCACCCCAATCTGTCTCTCTTGCTTGCTTGCTTGGGGTTTGGGTGCAAGCACCCTGGCCCGAAGGCCTACCTCTCGGGATTCTTGCGCGCAGCGCAACAAATCGGACATCGTGCGAATACCCACGTCCTGGCCCATGTTCATCTTCTCGCTGCTCCAGCGGCGCTGGATGGCATCGACGAGCGCCCAAGGCAGGCACAGCTCCATGCAGCGGTCCTGATTCAGACGCTCCAGGACCGCCGTGTTGGTAACCTGTGCACTGAGCCGACTTTTGCACGGCACTTCAGAGCTTCAGAGCATGCATTCCGTGTTTCGGAGGCTTCACATGAATTTATTGCTACAGTTGCAGCTGGGCAGCGCCACTCTCGACCAGGAGCTTGATCAGTCGTTCCGTGTGGTTGGCGAGTTGCAGCGTGACCATGGTGTCAGCCACAAGCTCGATCATCTTCTCCTCGCTTTCTGCATCCTCCCCCACACCGAGACCATAGTCTGCGGGATCCATCATGCGTCGCCCGCCCTTGGTGCTCGACTCTGCCAGGGCTTTCTGATCGAGTGCCTCTCCTGATACCGCATCTCCTGGCGCCATGCCGTACAGCTCACGTGCGGCTTCCATTTTCTTCTGGTGGGACATCTTCATCCGCTGTCCGAGGATGATCATGGAGAACTTTGCAAGCAAGTTCAGCGCCACCCAGCCCATTTCGATTACCAGCTCACTGTCCACAAGGTTGAATCCTTCCGGGCTCAAGATGAACCAGATCGGGAACGGGAACCAAGTAATGATCAACAGGAGCGTGAGTCTGCGGTAGTCGGAATCACCACGGAGGAGAGACTCCTCTCCCTCACTGTTCTCGCCAATCTGCAATGCATTGTGATAGAACATGATGAAGCAGAAGATCGAGCCGAAGGTGAACCTCACTTCGCTTTCGGATTTCGGAGCCACATGACATCTCACTTTCTCACCTGCATCACCCGGGCCTTCCTCCTTACATCCTACTGTTAGCTGCAGTATCACGCACTGAAAACAAAGCCTGAGGCATCTTCACGCATGATACAAGATGATACAAGTAGCATGATCCCTCTTGTGTAGACTCCAACAACCTGTGCACAGCTCTTGTAAACAAAAGATGCCTGCGATAGTGACTTGCTGCGCAGGGGCCATACGTAGCGCAAGGCTCCCTCCGTGAAGGTGGCAGCGACACCACACAAGAGCACGGCGGCTGAGAGCAGGGGCATCATGAACCGGCGGTATGATGGAACACGCGCACCTGCCAACACCACCAATTTCAGCTGCAGAATGGGGCACGTAAGCACCCACTCCACGGGCCGGGCAAGCTGAAGGACAAAGCCTCCCGAGTAGCCCGGGATGTCGAAGTCATCGATGCCCGTGAGTTGCATGATGTTGAAGAAGCCCGAGAAGAGTGCCACAGCTGTGCTCAGTGTGGCGCAGACAGCATGGCGCTGCTCCAATGGAGCCTTCTGGCCTACGGCCACCTTAGCGTTATTCGCGAAGATGAGCCAGATGGCCAAGATCAGGAAGAGGGTGCCCTGCGCAATCTGTGCGATGTTGTGGGCATCGCTCCAGTCAACCGAGTCGCAGGTCTCGGTCTGCAGGCGTCGCACGCGATCCATGGAGTCCTGGATCATGGCCATCGCTTCTGAGAGACCTCAAGAATTTGACTTCGACTCCTTCGATCGATCTTAACTGACCCCTGACCGTTGAAAGCGTAGACTGAGGACCACACGGCCTTGCTCCATATCCAGGGCATTTTGGACAGCCCGTGTGTCCATATGCTCCATGGTGTGAATGGCAATAGCTAGGTCGAGACGGGGCAGGTTCCAACGCGGGTAAGCTCAAACGGCTGCACAGCAATAGATCTTCAGCGGATCACAGAAACTTCCCGAAAAGCTTCAGCATGAGTCTGAAAAAAAGAGACTGCTGGCGTACACCCTCACAGCTGGAGAGAGCAACTGAGCATAGGAGGAAACAGATAAGAAACTCTTGACGCATAGTTGCGAGGGCGAGAATTTCAATGCAGGTGTGATTGTGCGAGGGCCCCGGCCAGGCCCGGAAAGCTTTTTCTTGTTTTGTGCAACACGCGCCGCATGCCCGGATCGACTCTGCTCTGTCGGAGGCCAATGACATAATTAGGATGATTTCATGGCGAATAACCTATGAGGAACGGTCCGGATTGGAAACCCAGTTGTCTGACTCATCACTCGCGCCTTCGGTTCGACAACGGACTGTCCAGCAGCACGGAGAGATGGTACCTGCGGCTGCAGTGGGGTTCTCGAGGCGAGGAAAAGTGTTTCGAATGTTTGGTGCTGCTCTCTGTTTGCTTTTGGCCGCGTGCAACAAAATCGACTGTCACCCCTCCAAGCATTCGATTGAATCTATGGTAATGGCAGCTCTGACAAACCAAACCGACGGCTTGAGGTGTAAGGCGAGCACGGAGGCTGAGTTCTGTAGCCGAGTGGGCTCTGCACGCATGAAGCCCCACGACTCCTCCTCAGCAATTTTAACGCAATCAGTGACATCTCTACAATGCACTACACCGGCACTGCTGTCAGGTACAAGACAAAGGGAGCTGGAATCAATCACCCACCAATCATCCTTCAGCCAACCGAGCTCGCGACCCATTGAACAGCTGCCTTTCTTTCTGTCTGGATCACATGCTGCCAGAGGATATTGGCAGCATGCCCTGTAAAGCAGAAGGCGCAGACTAAATATGACTCGGCCCATCAACACGACTGCACCCAACCCCTTCGCTTTGTCTGGCCCCGTCTGGCCTACAGGCTGCGGCATGGCAGGGCGTGGGTGTCGGTCGGTGGTGCACAGGCGCACTTCGTGTGCTATGGCTAAGCCTGTGCTTCAGAGCTGTGCAAGGTGTCCTTGCTGTACGTCGATGCAATATCAAACCCTAGTCTTTAGTACGTGCTCGATGTAAAGTCCGTCCAACATTCCAGCAGCTGCAGAGGCCACTACGAGCACATCTCGTGTGGCGGCTTCTTCCGCAATTCATGATCATGTGCTTCATGGGGATCTGCAACACTCTGCCACCCTGAGGCCGTCGCTGCCAGTAGCCCGCTGGTGCCATGACCTTGCTGGGACGCATCCAGCCTCAGGCCTGCTACGACGCTCTGCAGATCAGATCGAAGTCTGAGACCAGAACTGCCAACCTCCTGCAGTGCAGGCTTCTCACACCGCCATTCAAAACGGCGTCTTTCCAACAAATGCACTTTGGACTGAGACATCGCAACACTTTCTGAAAGTGGCAGTTTCCGGCACCGGTCCTGATTTCCAACGCGGCCTCGGGCCAAACAACCAGCTCCACCGTCCTGAGGCTGCTATGCCGTGCTGGGCACCGACCCTTGCTGCCTATGTTGCAAGCTCACCCTCAGCTCGGCTCCAGCCCCACTGCCAAGCGCCGTACAGTATGCCCAGAAAACACCAGAAAACTGCACAGCATGCACCTCCTTTCTGCCTCCAGCGCCCTCCCTCACATCTAAGTCACCAGCCGCAGAAACATTACAGACACTGGCGAGGACTTGTCGGGACACCCGACAGAGCCATTCCCCCTCAGATGCAGAAACACGACCAAACTTGCAATGGCGTGCTCGCTGACCTTTGCCCTGTCTTGCAGCTTCTGGGGCAAGAGCCCCGAATAATCACGACACACCTTGGTTTCAGAAACATGCCGAGTGCTTCAGGTGACTGGTTCAGCTGTGCCCTGCACACCACCACCCACAGGGACCTCGGCTGCAGCATGCGGCCTCAGCGACTTCCCATACTAAGGAACAACTCGGCTCCACGCACCCAGCTGTCCTTCAGAGGCGCCTGGGACTGTCAGTGTCAACATGGATACATGATCAGTGGAGTCAAGTTTGGCCTGCTGGTGCCATGAGGACATTGTCGCTGTACATGATGATCTGGAGAGGATCCAACCAACACCGGACGCGACTTGAACAGCCTCGTCAAATCTGCCGCGTGTCTGGGTTTGCCTCCTGGTTCTCACGGTCCAGAACGAAGCGGAGGTTGCGTGCCTGGAGCTTGCAGATTTACGATTGGAGCCGGACTTCAAACCGGAGTGCAGGCTGCCTGCCCAGGAAAGGCCGCTCCGGATGGGCCGAGCCTGTCACTCTCTCGGAATGGGCATCAGGCCTCTCCTTGACACCGCTGTCCAGCACAGCAGGGCACCCAGGCAATGTGCCCAAAGGGGTGGGTTGCGCAGGAGAACAGAAGCGCAGTATTCCGGTCCAATGCATCTCGAGAAAGAGCAACTGCGCACCGTATACTCGTAGGTTATCCTTGGATGTGCAGGGTCGCTGAACCGCCGTTTAACCACCACCACCACCACCACCACACCACTCTCCAAGCAGCTTGTGCCCAAAAGCATGAGATCATAATCATAATACAATATATACAACTTGATGCAGACCTTGTTTTGCATGGCCGTGCTGTAGGCGGGCCCTCTGCAAGTCCTGCTAGTGATTGGCTTGCATTCCTTTCGAGGTGGGTGTCATTCTCACTCTTTGACGGTGGAACTCTGAGACCATACCAGAACCCAAACCTTGACTCTTGAAGTTGAGTCAGATCAGCATGGGCCGGTCCGGAAACATTCTACGATTCTACTGCACACCAGAGTAAAGTCCAGCTCGACGGTTGAGTTTCTGCTCACTCCTAGTTGGGCGTCCAACGCGGCCTCACCGCAGGCTGATCAGCGCGTGCCCAGGGCCTGGAGATGCGTTTCAAGTGCTCTCGATCATGAAAGGATGGTCTGCGACTTCTACTGTACAGCACTATTATTTGATGGCGAAACGTTCCTGATGATCATGCCAGTCCTTCCCACTAGAAACCTCGACGTGGAAAGGTTCAAAATCGTGCGAAACTGGAGGCTGCGACGGTTGATCTCCAGTGCAGCCGGTTGTACCTGGCGCATGATAGCAGCCGAGAGCAGCTGAGAGCTGCAAGTTCGAGGTCAGCGTGGCACGGCCAGCACCACATGTCTTCGCTGTAAACCCGCCCATCTTTCTATTCCATGTTCAAGCGCACTCCAGCGGCCACCCTCTGCCTGAGCCAATGCAAGGTTTCAACACGCACAACACGGAGCAATTTCGACCGATGCTCTGCCTTCTGAACTATACACCAACACTAAGCTAGGCCGCACACACGGAATATCTGGCGGCAGCTGTCAAGCTCCAAAGCCTAGGCATGGGGAGAGCCCTCAACGAACAGCAACAAGGCGATGACAACGCCGACAAAACCCTGCAGACACAAAGGCAAAGCAGAAGAGTTTGACGACAAGTGATGAAAAAAATTGAAAAACATACTTTTGGTTGTGTGGGCATCGTCCGAAAGAAAAGTAAATGCCAGCCGTGAAGTGCTTTTGTGGTTTTTCTCCGGATACACGGCTGCACTGGGGAAACCGACCAATTGTCTCAGGATGTGGCTGCATGCAACCGCAATATCTCAACAGAGCTCCTTGAAGGACTCTGAAGGAACGAACATGAAAAAACATCTCAGCACCCGCGAGAAAAAAACATGCACGCACGCGCACACACACACACGCGCGCAGTGAAGCTAGCGAACAGCTTGCACAGAGAAGGCGAATGAAGCAAGCATAAGCGAGCCAACAAACCACGAGCATGCCACACCGCAGGGACAAGTGTCTGCTCACTCAGTTTACTTGCTGTCGGATGCAGCTTTGCCCCTGTTGGTTGCGTCAGCTCCACTCTTACTGCTACAAGATCCGACTGAAAGCTGTCGCCAGGCAGCCACGACTGCTGCTCCCACTCCAGCTGCGCCTGGAGGCAGATCTCCATCACCTGGCACACCAGAGCCACAACAGACAGAGGGGAGGGAGAGTCAGGGAGAGAGACAGAAGCTAAAGAAGGAGGTGTGCACATCGACATGACTAGATATATCACTGCAGACTTGCTGCATTAGTCGTCCTGGCATCTCGGAAACGATCATGAACAGCTCCTGCAAGTTCTTGCGACTCGTGCAGCCTCCAGAGTGCAGCAGCTCGATGTGGATCTCCGTGGACATCTACAGGGGATGATTCTTGCAAACTTGCAGTTCTTGCCTGGACATGCCAGAAGATCACATACCATGCCCGAGTTCACGTGTCAGGGGGGGGGGGGGGTTCAGTGTGCGCCTCGAGGTAATGAGAGATGTGCCATTTTCTGCCGGAAACACCAGCAGAGGCATGGCAGCTCCTGCAGCAAGTATGTGAATCATGTATGTGTGTGTATATACATATATACATACATACATACATACATACATACATATATGCAAATGTGTATATATATATATATATGTATATGTATGCATGTATATACATGCATATGTATATGTACACACACGCGTGTATAATTATGTATACATATATATATATATAATATACATGTGGGTATGCAGACCGACAGACATGCATGCATGCTTCCGCACGTGCATACATACGTACATACAGACGGACCGACCGACCGACCGACTCAAAAACAAATAAACAGACAGAGTGACCAGACTGACCACACAGACCAGACTCCACACAGACCAGACTGGCCAAACAGAGCAGACAGAGACGAATAGACAGAACATGTAGGTTCATGTGAGCATCCATTTTGTTCGCGTGTGTGCGCACATGCCCCCTCACCCCAATGGTTGTCATTTTTATTCCGCTCCCCCCACCCCCGCGCCCCCTCTGCCCAAAGCCGGTCTGAAGCTTGAAGCCTCAACCATGCAGCCTAAAGCACCCAACCATTCCAGACTCCGAAGCTGAAGGCGGAGGGATGACCATACACAGAACCATTGGAGGAATATATATATATATATTTTTTTTATAACCTGCAAAAAAACTACCAACCCTCTTTTTGTATCGCAAATACCATGTTAAGCCTGCTTTTCCGGCAGGTCCGGATTCCGTATCTCAAAGACTGCCAAAACCAAACGCACATTTCAAGAGAACGCCCCCGTCAAGTCGATCAGGTTCAACGTGAGCACACAGTCAACGGCAACACTGTACTCTTCCACTCATAAACCTACCGCCAGGCGACTCGTTCAGGATCGACGTGAGCACGCACTCAACGGCAACACTGCACTCTTCCAATCAAAACCGAACTTATTTCTAGGGAAAACCCCCAAACAAAACATCTTTTGGGAAACTATATGGCCAGACTCCAAAAAGTCTTTTCCCTAGAGAAAATGGGTTTTCGGTGGAAAAAAACAACTTTTCCACGAAATGCTTGCTAAGAAAATACTAAGAAAATGAATGGGCACTGGATTTCTGAGAGCCACATTCTCATGGAAGAGCAAGATAAGAAAATGAGTGACCTCTGAACTCACTGACTTGTTTTCTTACCCAACGCTTGCACTGTAAATATGCAGACGTATGCACATACAAGCGTATTCCACATGTATACCGTACGCACACTATATGAAGACTTCGGCAGCTGTCATACAGTCGACTGAGTGCCTGACAACCTGCGACCATAATGTGACACCTGATTCACCATGGGTTTAGACTCAGGTGCTACTTCGGAGCGCTGTGGTCGACAAACTTCAGGTCTCGACACATTCCCTTGCTTGACTTCCCGTTTCTTCGCTCTCGTCCAACTGCCTTGGCACAGCACATGAGGCATGGATGAATGTGCTCCTCCCTGAGGTGCATCTTCTTTCTCAGCTCATGGCAGCTCGATTATTGCCGGACTGCGCAACCAGCGCCATACGTCCCCTGCCAAATGAGACTAAACTTTCTTGTGTCAGACAATACCCCCGCGCTTTCCAGCAAAGCCTCGGTTCTGGTTGTCGTTGCCGCCCATTAACACCACCTGTGCGACGAACAACAGCCACACTTTAATTTCACATGTGGCAGTTAGAAGGAGACCTGATGAACCCTGGCCACTTTGTTCGAACTGGCAGCATTAATGGTGTTCCCATATCGTGCTAGCGGCATTTACAAACCTCATGGGGATAATGGTTTACCCTGCCATTTGTTGCAGATTCATCCGCCTGCTCGGATTCGGCCGTGACTTGCTGGATCGCAGCAGCATCAAAGCGACCGTTCCTCAATGCGGACTCTAAGCCTGCAAGCTTGAACACAATCCGATCTGCCCGATGCAAGACGTTCTAAAACGTCTTTCGCAAGTGGAAGGAGTCCAAGCCGAGACCACAAACCTCTCAGCGCTGGGCCATGGTGGGAGCTTCTCCGTCCGGCTCCAGGCGCCTTCCAAGATGTTGGTCCTTGGTCGGAATAGCGGAAACTTGCTGTAGGGTCTTTCTGCGGACTCGGGGTGCTGGCGGACTGGGTGTCCACTGCCAAACCTGACACCATTCACATTCCTTCTCACATCTTATCCTCAACTCGATGTGCTTCTGTGTTCATCGAGGTCCTTGGGTGCATGGCAGGCAAGACTCAGCTGCAGGAGCTCCCTCCGGCCTCCTGGATCGGGCCCTCGTTTCCCAGTCCGCCGAGCCTCGATCCGAAGAGCTCCACTCTGAGCTCATCGCAAGAAAAAACAAAACCGCTGAGCTCCGAGCATCAAGACAGCACCGTCCGAGAGGCCTTGAACTCGCAGCCGCTGCTTAAAGGATCCTGACTTCCTCCCGACTCTTCTCCCGTAAAGCCGGAGCTTAAGAGTCTCAAGCCCTGGCCCCAACATGCTATCATACGGACACAGCATGTACATCCCAGCTGGGCTCTCGGCCCGCAGAAGCTTGCCTCGACCTGGGTGTCCAGGGAGGATCTCCCATCGGATCCCACCTCGGAATCAGCTTCTTCTAGCAATTCTACATTAGGTGCAGTGCAGAGCCCCCCAACATGCCCGAGACAAGACCTACAGAAGGACGTCAGAACGGACCATCCTGTGAGCCACGTGCCTTCTGCGACTTATGTGAGAGACATCTTCTAGAAAGGGCATTCCGGGACCAGTTTAAGACGAAAGACATTTCTAGTAGATTAACTCTATTTTAACACTCACACTCGGACAAGCCTGACAAGGTCTGCCGCAATACTGGTTCGGACGACTCGGGAACAGACTACTCGGCCGAGTCACTCAGCAGGCATCGCTGTCGTGCACAGCTCACACTGAGCACGAACAACAAGTCAGCAACATTTATAGTAGTTGGGGCCACATTCAAGGCATCTGAGCAGGCCGACGCGCAAAGTTTCTTGGCAGTTTTACCACGCTGGAATGAAGGCCCTAGCAAATAGTTTCGGATGGTGCACAGAGAGGCCAATCAATAGCTGCACATGGGATCGTTAATGTCAGAGCAACAGGAACTTCAGCAGTTTAGAACGGAGCGACGAAAGATTGCAACAACGACACGACCAAGTGACTAAGTCGCGAGCATGCGAAGTTGAAACCGTGATCTTAGGCCCCTAAGGGAAGCGGGAAACTAGAAGCCTGAGCGATCGAACAATCAAGAGGCTGCGATTTATCATGCCTGCCTGTGCTGTGTGGAGGATGCAAACTGGTAAGGTATGAAACACCCCACAAATCATGACCACAACTCCTCCAAACAGTCAGAGAAGGCGCGGTTTGGGGGGACCCCGCGGCATATGCCACTGGCTTCTGACTCATCAAGTCAATAGCAGCTCAGACCACTTTCTGACCCGCCAATAGAGACGTGCAAACGAGAACTGTAATAACTCTTGAAGAGCTTTCGTAAAGACAGAGCGCCCACGCGCATCTACTGGCCACAGCACAAGAGCCCTCCGAAGCCTCCGAAATACGACTCATTCTGAAGCCGACAAATACTAAGCAGTCTGTCGCGTGTGTAGTTTACTGTAGTGCAGTCAGTGACTGTGAACTGTTGCGTTTCAGCCGGCGAATGGCCTTCACAGATGAGAAACTTCTAACGCTGTGACTTCATGCTCAAGTTCCAAGACATGGACAAACCGAGCCATGCCGTCAGTCTTCGATCGGGGAGAGAGCAGTCGCAGCTGCACAAAAACACTTTTAGTGCCTGTGAGGACGACTATGACATGTAAGCTAAAAGGCGAAAATGATTGCCAATGCATAGGCATAGTGCTCGGCCGAAGCAAGTGCATGTGTGAACTTGGGCCGAGGCTGTGTAACACACTCACGGGTGTCGACGGTCACCTGCGACTGAAGCAGACTTGGCTCTCAGGTCTCAGACTCAGTGGATACCAACATCCCATCCGAACCATCAAGATTCAAGTTGTAAGCATGCAGCGCGGAGCTCGAGAGCCAGGTAGTACCATTTTACTTGCCTTTGCACCCCCCCTAGCTCAGGTCATTGCGGCGAGCCTCGCCAAAGTTGCAGTACATGATGTATGTGTTCCGAAAGATAGGGTTCCTGATTTCGTTGAACCGCTGACCGTCAACATGGACTATCCTTCCAAGCTTGGGGTCCAGCAGATTGCGGCATAGCCGCACCTCTTGACCACCGCTGGCCTCGGCTGGGCTTCGAGCCTGCATCCGCTGGCAACGGTATGTGCTAAGTCCGCCGCAATGATGTTCAAAGGGGAAGCACTGACCGAGTCTTCCCCCAAGCGCACCGTGATGGATTGGGAGGGCTGGCACCGCCTCACTTGCACAAGATCATCGTCTACCCACACAGGGCCTCACAGCTCACCTTTTCGGCGTGCAAGAAATTTTCGGGGATTTTCTGCCACTCTCGCTGATGGGCGGATAACCAGCATGGCAGAGCATGCTGAATATATCAAACGGAGGCCTTGGCGAGCAGCCATCTGTGCTGATGTTCAGCGTGCCCTCATAGCAGGAGATCACGATCAAGCCTGGCCCGGAAGAAGAGCAAGCAAGCAGTAGTAGTTGCGGTAGTGGTGGTGGCGGCGGGGGTGGAGGTGGTTATGGTGGTGGTAGTAGTAGTAGTAG